AAACTCAGGCAAAAATATGTGATTTGATGATAAAATTATATGTATTTTTAATTATAAATTTAAATTATATGTATTTAGCTTGGTACAATATGTAAAATGATTAGTTTGAATGTAATAGTAAAAAGGAGTTACTCACATAACTCCTACTACATTATATGCTAACAATGTAAATCACTTATTGTTAAATGAAGTTAAACACCAGTATAATATTAAATTAACTCTACACATGATAAAATCAAACTTAAAATCTTAAGATAATATTGACCCATGACAAGAAGGCTCTATTTAGTTAGTATGATTACAATTGTTTTTTGTTTTACCAGATAATATCTCAATAATTAAAAACTTGAGTCTTAAAATTTATGATGGATAAAAAAAAATTTAGAAAAAAATAAAATTATCTATTATTGTATAGCACTTACCATCCAATTGTACTAAAAGAAATAATTGCAAATTTTGATTTTTGATTTTTTATTAAAATTTAAACAATTAAAATTAAGAATAAAGTTTTAAAACGAACACTAGTTCATTAATTTATAAACAATTTAATTAACTTATGTAACCAAAAAGTTAGTAAATTAGAGCCCGATATGTTGGCTGATTTAAGGAAAAGGAAAAAAAGAAATTTTTTCGTTCAATTGCATTAAAATATTAGACCAATATTTGAGGTCCGTTGAATTCGCAAAAAATAACTTTACATTAAAAAAAATGTTTTTCAAAAATGATCACAATCATACTATGAAATCAAATTTTAAAGTAAATTTATCAAAAATTATTTTCGTCCATATCCTTTGATTTCAAATTTTAACAAATAAATTAGGTAGAATTATAACTTATTGTGTTTTATTTCAGAAAAATGGAGAAATAAAACTTTGCCCAATGAAATTACTATAAAACATTAGACAAACATTTTACGTGAACATATAACAAAATTCAAACTTCTTGGAAAATTAAATCTCCTAATTACATCTCTTGCTACTTTCTAACATCGTTAGAGATATTGATTTATTTTTCCTCAATAGGGTTATGATATTCATTGCATACACGAAATATAAGAGTACAATATAGCCCTTGACTCAAATAAAAATGTGATTTTCTTTTTTAACATATTAAAATTATTTATTTATTAATTAATGAAGACAAATGAAATTTTGTGGGTCTCAAATAAGTAACTTATAGGGGATAAATTTTGTCATTCAAATAAAGATGCGGTTTGCTTTAAATAATATGGACCCTACAAATAATCAA